GAGGTATGGCCCTCGAGCACGCTGCGGCACGACCCTGTGGCCGCCTCCCACACCCGCACCGTCTTGTCGTAAGAGGCGGACGCGACCAGCTGGCCGTCTGGCGAGAAGGCGACGGCCCTGACTTCCCTGGTATGGCCCTCGAGCACGCTGCGACAAGCATCCCAGTCGTCTTCCCGTTTCGACAACGACTTAATACATCCTGGCATTTCGTCTACAAAAGCTTTCCGTACTATACTTGCTTCTGGGGCAAATACAAGAGCCGAGCAATATATTTGTAGAGGAGCATCTTGGAGTATATGTCGGAATCGAAGAGTGAATCGTTGGGCGTCTTGGAGAAATGCAGAAAGAGCATTGTTTGATGCCAGTATTGCATGTTAGCAAAATAATACAGTGCTAGAAAACGTAGAAGCCTTACCTCAACTAGCGTAGAAAGTGCTTCTAGCAAGGAAGCACAATTGTTCGTATCTCCGATTAGACTCATCGCTTCAAGCCAGTGGAGGAAGTGTTTCCGGAGGAACGTATCTGTAGTGGCCTTGTTGCTAACGTAGCGCTTGCTCTGCTTGAGATGATACACCCAGTAACGGCAAGCATACTGCAACTCGAGCGACAGATAGCTCGTAATCCTTCCTTCATCGACCTCGCTTCTCAAAGTCCCAGGCTGTAAGTCGCACATGTTCTGTCGTAGGCCGTTTGGGCCGGACATGAGTTGAAGGCAATAGGATGTCAGCTCCTCGTGTCTTGCTCTCTCATCCACCCAAAACAGGCTCTTCTGATTTGACGTATCGACTAGGAATTCGCGGAACGACAAGTGCAGGAGGCGTACAGGCACATCGTCGCGGTTAGGTATGTTTAGAACAGAGTGCAGGGAGTCCAGTCGACAGCTAATATCGTCCTTGGCCTTCCCTAGGAGGGGCGCGAGTGAATTAATAGAGAGAGGACTCTCTAGAACCACAATGCTCCCAACTATTTCTTGGAACTCCCTAGAGAGCTTCATTTTCTCCTTCCTATCTTGAGTCGCAAAGAGTGACTCTAGAATAGGGAGGTATGTTATGCCAAGCTTGCTTACATCTTCTGTTTCATAAGCGAGGATGTCCTCTAGACGCCTTCGAGGATTTCCAGAAAGTTCTCCTACAAAACGACAGACTGTGGCCGCGAAGATAAACAGAGGGAATGCCATGTTCACTAGTGTGTGGATGCGCCTTTCTCCGGGCCATTCTAAAGGAAGAGAGCGCTCTTCTTTTATCCTGGTGAGCTCATCCTCAAGATAGACACGTATGTCGTGTTCAATTGTATCCTTGGACACCTCGTGCAGGATCAGATCTTCGTATGTGCTATCAGGCATTCGCCTAAATCCGAGGCGAATGTGAAAGTCAGGCCGGCTTGTTACGAGGATACGCAGTGACACTGGTTTGAGACCCTTCGTTCGCGAAAGCAGCTGGAGGATCGCCCGGATATCGCTGTCTTGCTCACATTCGTCCAACGCGTCTATTACAATGATAAGCACAGGTGCTGCAGATTCCCCTACTTCCGAGAGCGGCTGGAGGATTAGCTGCTCGAACTGATTCTTTAAGGCCTTGTTAGCTATAGCTGGGTCGGTACCGATCGCCTTCGTGATTCCGGGTCGCATCTCTGGTACGTAAACAGCCATCTGCGCGGCGATTGTGGTGAGGAACCGTTTGGCGTTGCCGCGCTCTCCTTCACCTCTCTTGAAGAAGAAGCTGGCTCCTAGTTGCCCTTGCTTGGCGAAGGCCCGGGCAACCGTACGAGCAATCGTTGATTTTCCTGTGCCCGCCGCGCCGTTCAGCCAGAATATAGGTTTACTGCTCTGGTCCTTTGCCCATCCTTGTATGTGATGCAACAACTCGATGCGGGTATTTGGGAGGCACGTTGAGTTATGTTCTTCTATGTAGGAGTCGAAGGAAGCGCCTTCGGCGGTTGGTAATACAAGTGTGTCAGTCTTCTGGTCGATGCGAAGAGTAAGCGCTCTGTATGTCTCTTATTAGTTCTTGCTTGCACTAGAAAGCACACATTACTTACGTCTGATCAACTTGAAGCGCAAGGCTGAAAGTGTTCCCATATTTCTCAAGATTTTGAATCGCCTTCTCTACCTCTTTGCTCGTTAATGGCCATTTCAAGGCCCGGACACCGAATCGCTGCATTGCTTTACGGCCGAGGCTGGGCTCGAGTTTGGCCTTAAGTTTATCCTCAAGGTCTTTCAATTCCTGAGAACATCTTTGGAGCGGGTCCAGCAATGTGCGTGTAGTAGAGAGCTGCGACTTGTCCTGCTTGAGAAGCAGTTGAAGCTTTTCGAGGACATTGTTGATTTCGTTCACCTTTCGATAGAGACGCCCGATGTCGCCCTTTGCGTGCTTAACCTCGACCGAGTACTGGAAGCAGAGCGACGCGACCTTGGCGGACATGTCGACGACAGCTATCACGCTTGCCGCTCCCGAAAGGCCATCCATAATGCGGCGAGCGGTCGGAGGTACAACGGACGTAGTAGTTCTGTAGAAGCTCCGGCGTAGATTCGCAAGGCGGCGAGACCCTTCCTTCCGTGGGTGTCAAAGATGTTGCCGTTCATCTTGAGTGCAGCGGGGCTTAGAAGGCTGCTGCGGCTGAACGCTGCAGCGTTAATATTGGACTCGAAGTTGACAGGAAAGACCCCGCCAAGCCACAGATCTATTAGCCACATAGTGTAAATTACACAAGGATGATTATGTGAGACGTGCGCAGCTGGCGGGGATGCAGCATCCAGAACCGAGTTGGCTTTGCACCTTTGTTCTACTCCAGATATTAACATCTCTTTAAATTTCGAAACTCTAGAATGATAAGTCCATTAAGAGAGAAGATGCTCTAAAGATCTAAGAACACTTAGCCAAGGCAAATATGCACTCTAAGCTTATCCATGCGGAGAGGTCCATAATACGCTTTGGCAGAAGAGCTTAGCGTGCTGACATAGCAGGGTATTAAACGATAGCCATCTGTATTGTGTTCTTTGCTGTGGCGCTCTTCTAGAACCATCTATAAACGGTCACGTGCTGGCTATTATTGGCAGCTGGGCTGTTCGCGCTTGCTGTTGCCAGCTGTCTCGTGTCGTGCGAGCTGTCTTGCGCCTTTCCTATCACCACAATCGTTAACATGGACCGAGCCAGCCAGGTGCCGGCGAGAGGACTCGCCCCAGATGTACCTAGGACATACGCTGCCCTATCAGACAGTGGCAATGTTCCTATCTCCACACTTCACCATCGTGCTCACGGACGACGCTCGAGAGAGGAACTAGCCCAAAGCCAGCAATACCTTACCCTACAGGAAGAGAAAGCCCTCGTTAAGTTTATATTGCTAATGTCTAACCTCGGGCACCCCGTACGGATTAAATTTATGCGCCAGCTAGCTTTTAATGTTGCCCGCCATCGCTCCACAAATAAACCAATCAAGCCTCCAGGCATAAACTGGCCCCGGGCCTTCGAGAAACGCCATCCAGAACTTAAAGCGAAACGAGTCAGGGCTATGGACTGGAAACGACACGATAGCCACATATATGATAAGGTTACGGAGTGCTTTGAATTAGTTGGCAAAACACTACAGGAGCTAGCTATTCTGCCAGAAAATTGCTACAACATGGACGAGACTGGAGTCCTACTAAGCTTGCTCGGCTCCGTTAAAGTCCTTGTAGAGAAGGACGACATACGAAACTATAGAGGCGCAGGTGTCAAGCGAACAATGGTAACTGCCATTGAGTGTGTCAGTGCTGATGGTAGGTCGCTCCCACCTCTTATAATCTGGCCAGCTTCAACCCACCGAAGCAACTGGACGACGTACCCAACCCCTGGATGGCATTACGGACATTCTGAAAACGGATACAATGACTCAAAGATCAGCTTAGAGTGGATGAAGCGTGTTTTTGATCCTCAAACCAAAGTATTAGCTAACGGGAAACCGCGGGTTCTGATATGTGACGGCTTCGGGACGCACGAAACTGTTGAAATCCTGGAGTTTTGCTTTGAGAACAACATTCTCCTATGTCGTCTCCCCTCTCACACCTCCCACAAGCTCCAGCCCTGTGACGTCGGAGTCTTCGCACCATTGAAGACAGCCTATCGCGACCAGGTTGAACGACTGAATCGAGGAGGCGTAGACAAAGTTGGCAAGGAGCATTTTACCTCTCTATACAAACCTGCACGGGGCAGAGCCATAACTAAGAGGAATATCATAGCCGGGTGGGCTGCAACTGGTTTGTTTCCGTTCAATCCAGAGAGAGTACTTAGAGGCATACAGAAGCCCCCGGCTACACCTACCATTCCAATGGCCAACGAGGCGGTGAGATTTGGTCTGCAAGAGGTGCTGCAAACGCCTATAACGCCCGTTACGCCAGTGACAACAGAGGGCCTTACATCGTTGCAAAACCTAATCAAACAGGATGCTCATGCGCTTGATGAGACGAGTCAACAGCGTATACAACGGCACGTACAGAAGTTGGCAACTGCTGCTCAAATATCCTTTACCGAATGTGCCCTTCTTCAAGATCAAACTCGATTCCTGTATGAAATAAACAACGAAAAGAAAGTTCGCCGATCAACAAGGCCAATAGTCCTAGGGAAGGCGAAGGTGATGAGCTTTGAGGATCTCGACGAGGCACGAGCGAAGCGTGATGCAAAAGACAAGGCTATCGCAAGTAAGGGAAAACGCGGTCGTAAGCGCAAGAATCCTCAAGAGGCAGAGGCAGGTCCATCAGCTCCGAAGGTGGTACGGATGAGCGAAGTCGACCTAGCGATAGCTGGAGCGCCATGGAGGGCACCAGTGGCGAAGATGTATTAGGACAGTGTTGCTTTAAGGGTAAATTAACTTAATCTTTTGCTGGGAGTTGTGCAATGTCGTTTTGAGATGTGCCCGTGTCTTGCTATAGTTTAAATCACATTCCGAGGGTCCCCACAGCCACAGGCCTGAAAGCCACACAGCTTGGCTTACGAGATGATGTGTAAATTACACCGCGATGATTATGTAGGATGTGCGGGGTCGTTTCGCACTAGCCGTTGTTGGTAAGTGTTTCAATTAGAAGTACCGACCAGGGTGGCGAACTTGCATGAATTTGGGTGCGATAGCCGCCACAAGGCTGATAATGACTTCCTAGTATGGCTGTGAGGCTTTCAGGCTCGGAGGAACCTTATTTGGGTATCAGGAGTGATAGGAGCTCAATAGGTGGTGCTGCAGCGACGGAAATCGGTTACGCCATGAAAGGAGGCTCTCCGCAAATCAGGCACGAAGGCGACGATGTAAACGTAATTTTTAGATCCAAGGGTTCCTAGATGTTTAGAAATAGCTAGAGCACGTAACTCATATGGATTTAGGACAGAGATCAACGTGTACACAGAACTTAGGTTTTTTGAAGTTCAAGTACCCCTCATATTTCTCGGAGCGGAGTGTTTCTCGACCTGCAGTGATGGACTTTAACTTACATATCTTTCTATACTACGTTTCTATGTTATCAAATGCCTTCGTGTTACCGAGGGCTGAAACTCGCTATTAATCAATTCTATCCCTAAATCTTTGTTCTCAAGCACAAAGTCCCGAATTTGGTCTTGTATCAAGTCATTTGCAGATACTAATAGCAATTAGTGTAAATAATGCGACGAAATCTCTCCAAACCTACCATTTACTACTATCCTCCCTTTACAGTCGCCGCTTTGTTCGGTTAGAAGCTCTCGAACATTAACAGCGCCTTTTTTAACTTCAAAGGAATCTTTTCTTCCTTCTTTTCTAGATTTGCTTATTGATGAACTGTCGTAGAGTAAAACTTTCAAGATAAACGTTTCGTCGATCTTAATCATCTCGTTCATCCAGTCCTTAATCCAATCTAGATCAGCTGTATTGGCCAGTTAGTGCCTATCTACCAAATCTCGAAAAGGAGGAAGTAACGCACTTTCGTTGCAGAATTGCCAAATGAGAACCAACTTCCGGGTCAAGGCAGTATATTGCTGGCAAGCCTGAAGAATCTGTCTTACGTGGGGCAGTTGTGCAGCTATACCAATATCCGAAGCGATCAAAAAGACGGTTCCGAATTTACTAAGATCCCGCGGTGATCCATATGGGCCATCGATCCAAGTTAAGAACTTAAACTCTTTTCGGTCTCTTATTTTTTGAACAAAACCTCCTCGGCTTTGCTCTTGTAGGAGCAAATGGATCTCAGTCTGTTCGTGATTCCACCACGATATCATAAATGGATGACTTTGTGCGAAAGCCCAAAAACTTGTACCTGGGGCCCAAAGCTGGATATATTGACCTGCGCTGATGGGCATACGACGAGGAAGGCGGATTGTAAGTCTAGATGCCTGCAGGTAGTATTTCAATTCGGAGTTCCTCCAATTATTTAACCTAACGTTTAGGTAAACAATTCCGAGAAGCCGATAAAGATTTGTGGCCACCAGAGATCCTATAGCAACTAGAATATATACCTGGTCGAAGCCTCTAGTGGATTTTACGTGCTGCCACAAATATCCGGCAGCTAGAAGAGCAAGAGCGTAGTGGGTTTTTAGGAATATCTCGTACCATATCTTCCTAAATAATGGTAGAAGTAGAAGTAGGCCGTAGAATATTATTGCCTAAAACCTGTTACTTGGATAATATGTTCAGCTTTGCGGATACTTACAAGAAGTCCACTAAGATATACAGGGTCCTTCCACGATGGTTTTCGTTTGAAAAGGATAACAGAGAAATGGAACACGCTCTGAGCAACGGTCATGAAAGCCATAGAGCCATGTAGTTGCAGGTAGCTATAAATCGATACTCCGAGGATGTTGGCAGCCATGCTGAAAGGAGTAGCCAAGAGGAGTGGGACGAAGTTTACGATAGCTATAGTTCCAGCTCTAAGCCCTGCATCAGAAATCGAATTCACCCGAACGAAATTAGCAACAAGCGTTCCTGACCAGTATATAGCCTGAACGGTTACTCGGTACCAAGAAATGGAATTAGTGAGGCGTGACCGATGCAGAAAGCGAGGATAAACAAAATTCTTGAGAACAAACAGACAAATGCCTCGGAATGGAAAAAATGACAAGGTGTAAAGGATTCGGAGTACAAAAAGCATGGCAAGAACGCTGCCAGCGGCAAGGGCATAAATCTCAGAGATCTGCATGTTGGCTGGAACCATTAAAGTCAAGTTTAACAAGTTCCAAATCGCACTTACTAGTATAAAGGTGGGTCGGTTTCGTAGGCAGGTAGAGAGTCAATCTCTACTTCATATATTGCGCGAGTAAAGATCCACTTTCGAATTCTTCTCAGTCTTGCTGCAATTCGAGGTTTTGTAAGAGGTGAAACAATAACAATAATACACATGACTTAACACAATATATGCAGCTATCTGGCGGGGCATCGGCCTCTATGTATGTTGAGAGGATCTATTTTTAGTTCAATCTTTTTTTATCCCAAGTTCCTATATATAGCTGACCGCTAGGTATCTTCCCATATTATTAGACATAACCTGCCGCGAAAGTATCACATCCTCTTACCTCCAGAATTATTGAAATGTCTATCCAACTTACTCCTCTACCAAAATCTCGACGAGGCTGGAAACCACGATGTTATATTCCACCCACACTCCTCCTTCCTACGCTTCGCGTTGGACAGCATCGCTTTGCAAGCTCACCGCCATCCTCAGACCTGTATAAACCTTATTCTGATAAGGACCAGAGAATCGAGGAGGACTTGTTTCTGGTCGAGCTCAGGGTCAAGCGGAAATTAAAGTGGAAAGAAGTCCAGCTGGGATTTCTACAGCGCTACAAGAGGGCGTACAACAGTTCTACTCTTCAGATGAGGCTTGTAAGGATACAGAAAAGACCTGGAGACTCCCATAAAAGTGGCACATCCCAGAATATCGACAGTGTTTGAGTAAGGGGTTTTGTTCAGTTTGTATTACTTGTATAAAGAGTTGAATTTGCGAGATGAAAATTCCAATAAGATTAGGGGACTACTAATCGTACACCCCCTAATTCCTAGACGTACACCCCCTTTTCACTCCATGTACACCCCCCCCTCTTGGCGCTTCACCACCTTCTAATTGGCTCGGAGAACCCGGAGCTTCCTCCGGGCATTCACCCTTACGTCTCTCTACACGTGATGCTATACGCGAGGCCGTACGTGATGCTATGCACGAGGCCGTACGTGAGCTCGTATGTGAGGCCATACGTGATGCTATACACGAGGCCGTACGTGAGCTCGTATGTGAGGCCGTACGTAATGCTATACACAAGGCTGTACGTGATGCTATATATGAGGCTGTACGTGAGCTCGTACGTGAGCTCGTACGTAAGGCTATACATGAGCTCGTACGT